CCTCCTACAGAGAATTACAAACACTTGCCTGCAAATGAGAAACCTCTTTCTCTTAAGCAAGCAAAACCAATTAGCTCTGTTTAGTTACTTCTCACCTACAGAAAATAAATTGCTGACTACTGCTGACAATGTAGAAATATAAGATAGATGAGAGGTCATGGTTACTGGGAACATCTGTGCCAGCATAAAATAGTAATATGCTTCCTATTTGCTAGTTAAAAATTAATTTAATGGCTGAAAAGCTCACTCTGTAGAAAAGAATGTTGCTAAGCCAACCACACTTTTATTCTAACATTTTCAGTTTTTTTACTTTTTACACATTGCCACTCTACATAAATCACATCAACTAATTCAGCTCAAATCTATCACAAGCTTCTGTGCCTTGCTTAGTGTATATTCCTTCAGGACACTTCTGCTGAATTTCATCTCTGGAGATTTGGGTCAATTTTGAATTTTTTTTCCATCAAAAACATTTCCCTGAATTTGACTCAGTGAATATACACAATAAAGAAAACTGTGAGAGACAGTGAATGAAGTGTGGTAGCAGAAGGCAAACTGCACTCTGCACTCCTGGCTGTTTTCTTTGGCCAACTGTATTGATTTCAATATGTCAGTACAGAATAGTCTCCCATGCACCATCCTGCCTATCTAACCTACGTGGTTAATACTTGTTATAAATGAAAATTTGTCCAGCCAAGTTAATATGAAAAATAAACTATTTATTTTGCAATCAAATTTTATCTAGCCAGCCACAAGGAAAGAACAGAGCCGAGCCTGGGGTCGGCCCTGGGTGTGCAACAAGGAGTCAGCCTCAGCAGAGGTTTTCCTCCATGCCCACACACCTCCATCATGGCACAAGCAGTTTTTATAGGGACAATTCCGCCCGAGGCCAAGATTTCAGCAATCAGTCTTTTCTTCTATTCAGAGTCCATATGTTAATAAGATTTTCCTTTTTGGTGATGAGGGAGAACAAATCACTGTCTGGAGTTTGTTGAATCCCTTGATGAAATTTACGGAAATTCGGGAACGCTGTATTCACATGTATCTGCCTGGGGATTTCCAAGATATCCATCTCGGGTCGTTCACGCGATGATCAGCGCCTGGGGTCTCCCGCAGCTTTCCAGACATGGCCCATCTCCTGGCGAGCCGTATCTTCTTACTTGTAAATTAGTTTCCAACATATACCCGGTCTCGGATGGGAGAAGGGGGGGGAGGCTAGTACAAACGAGGTATAATCTAACAAGTATTTAATATTATATATTCCATACAAGGAATGGCGCAAATTATGTTTATTACCCATAACAATACTGATATAGTCAAGGTCAATATATACATGCTGAATTGCCCTGAACATAGCTGTGAGATGAGATATTATTATGTTACACAGGGAGGTTGTATAAATTGCAGTTTCTCACACACACAAAAAAATTGGTTGCTACAGTAGGAGGGGCTTTCTCCTTCAGGTCCTTCCTGGACACTAGCTGCAAGTGTTGTCTGAATGCTTCAGTAAGGCAAGAGGGAAACAGCTCCTGCAACAACTCCCTTTAACACATGTTGTGCTGATGAAAAATATGGGTTTATTTCCTCTTTCGATAACAAAAACTGGTTCCAGCTGCATGAGATTTTTTATGAAGAAACTGTTGGCTTTAGCAAGAGATATAAAGCCCCGAGTTTGTTCAGCTGAAAACTGCCAGTGCTGCAGTTGTAGCTGGATTTAGGGCACTGGCTCTTTCATTTACAAACTTGGTTTATTTGGTATTTAAGTAATATCCCAGAATCATAGAATGGTTTGGGTTAGAAGGGACCTTAACCCTCCTGCCCTGGACAGGAACACATTTCACTACATAAATGCACAAATTTATCAAAGTTCAACAGTCTTGCTAACCTCAGTAGTGGAGCTTGGTCTAAGGGATTAGAATGAAGAATTCCGGTATTATAGACTTGGTTTAATATACAGTGGCGTGAGTCAATATGGGTTTCTACATTCCAAGACCTGACAACATCCTGACTCCTTCCTCAATGTCATAAATGAATCAGTCAATTTAATAATTAAAGGAATTTATTAAATTAAATCAAAGTAAAATTGGAAAAGCCACAAGCAAATCAGCACCGAGCCAGGCGATCGGTGCTGGATGAACTGGGTCCAGACTAATGCAGCACTGTACCCTGCCAGTTCCCCGGGTACTGTTTTCACAGGGTCTTTTTTATACTGTTTCCAGACTTAGCAGGATTGTTGAGGGGTCCTCCTGTTTCCTTTTTGTCCTTTTTCACATATTCATGCATGTTCTTTTCGTGTGGTGCTTCTAAAGGGAAGTTTTCCCAGAATCCTCTGATTGCTGAAATCCTGTTAGATGGTAATCCCTCAAATATCTTGTTCTGGCAAGGAATATTCATCTTATTTTCAAGGCATATCTTCTAGACAGAATAATCCTTCAGAATAACCATCTTTTAAGACAGGAATTCACCCTGTGTATATTGCTCTTTCCCCTCACTTGGTTCCATTGAAAAGGATACTGGATTTTTTAGTCCTGAGCACGAATTTATTTTAAATCGTGTATTACAATTTGGTACACGTAACCATGTTAGTAAAGAAAGTACATACACACTTTTAATCTATAAAACCCATTCAATGACTGAATTTAATGTACAATTTCCTGCATTTTTAGGGAAAATAAAGCAAAAAACTCACCTTGTGCACAGTGTAACTCACTCTAAGTTTACAGCATTAAGATTGTATAACGCCCCTGGAGCCCCTCCTACACTAAGTATTCCAAACGGCTCTCTGCAAACATGAAACTTCTCTCTCTTAAACAAACAAAACCAATTAGCTCTGGTAAGTTACTTCTCACTTACAGAAAATAAACTCCTGACTCATGCTGACTATGCAGAAATGTGAAAAAAAATCAGAGATCATGATCATTGGAAGCATCTGCGCTAGCACAAAATGGTAAAATGCCTCCTATTTTCATTGCTTGGTACCACGTTAGCTAAAAATAATTATAACGTCTGAAAAGCTCACTCAGATTAAAAGAATACTGCTACTGCAATCACACTTTTATTCTAATATTTTACAGGTTTTTTTACTTTTTATCTATTGCCATTTTACATAAATCATATCAACTAATTCAACTCAAGCTGAATTCACAAGCTTCTATGCCTTTCTTAGTGTATATTCCTTCAGGTCACTTCTGTTGAATCCTCTCTGGACATCTGGGTTAGTTGTTTTTTTTGTTTTTTTTTTTTTTTTCCTGTGAAGAAAGTTTCCCTTAATTTGACTCAATGAAAATACACACCAAAGACGGTAAATGAAGTGTGGCATCAGAAGGCAAACTGTACTCTGCACTCCTGACTGCCTTCTCTGGACAACTGAATGGATTTCAAAAAGTCAATACAGTATACATTCCCTTTTACCTTCCTGCCTATCCAATCTACCTGGCTAATATATTGTTGTAGCCATCACCTGCAGTTATAGTACAGCAGGCAGTCTCCTTGTCCCTCCTGTACGCATACTTCATTGCTTGGTAGCTGAAAATGATCCTCATCCCATCAATCCTCACTGTTGGTACCTGTTATATTGATGTGTTCCATACTTGACAATAAATTAAGCTTAATAATTTATTGAGAACTAGAATCACAGAAGGACAGGGCATCAAAAAAGTCACCACTGCATTGTATTGTCTTTTAGGAGGTGCCTAATCCCCAGGTGAAACACTCTGTATCCCACATGGCACATAAAGGGAGCCCGGCTTCACAGAAGAGGACCCTTGACTGAGAGCATCTCTTGTAGCTCCCCATTCTGGTTAGGGCTCTATGTCCCTCTGTCCCCTCCTTACATTTTGGGATGGTCTTCCATCCAGCCTCTGACACTGTTGGAAACAGTGTTTCCCCCATTTTTGGACACATATGACTTATGGCACATGTGCACCAAGGAGCAGCTGGCTGTTTCACAAACCCAAACTCCCTCTTAGGTAACTTGTCTGGATTCACCATTTGTAGGCCTGCCCCTGATAAACTCTAGGATGTTAGTGATAGTGATCACCTGGTAGGGAAATGTGAATTCAAACCTGAAAGTTAATTATAGTGTAGACAACTTTGAAAAACCCATCTCATCTAACTTTGTAGACTCCTACATTGTGTCCAGCTGTCTAGTCTCCTTCCAATAGGTCCAAATTCAGGAGGAATCTCTCAGCATGCTCTTCAGTTACAGCTGAACTACTCAAAATTATTTTGTCTCAACTGAGACAGTTAAAAGTTTTGATGAAGCCAGTCCCTTCAGCCTTCCCTTATAGGTAGGGGAGAGGAGCACTGTCTTCAGAGGATGATTTAATCCCAGTACTGGTGTTTCTTGTTCTGTCACAAGTATCCATGGAGATTTCAGGCAACTAAGTCCAATGTCTCATAACTTGATTTACAGAAATGTCACTTCATTGAGCTACTTTGAGAAATGATATTCTTCTGTTTTGTCCCTCAGGTCCATTTTCCCATATTTTTTCTAATTTATTTTTTTCTTCACTCATGTCATAGACTATTAAACTCAGATCTGGTTACTGACAGTTGTTGGAACACAGTTTCCTTCTAAGCAGGTGCTTCTCTGCTGCATCAGGCCACTTCACAAGGCTGTTTATTGTCTGCTGTAAATATTTTAATTTGAAATTAAATTGACCTTGAGTATCTGTTGCTCTGTGTTCTGTCCTAAATGTGTAGAAATAAACCCCCTCTGCCTTGCCAGAGTCTGCAAAACAGACTGCACCTTGCTTCACAACACTTTGATCTCAAGAGGTAATATATTTGTAAGCAGCTGGTATGATCATACAGGTTTGAAATACCTGATTTATACAGAAAAATAATCCAACAAGTTACATTCTGACAATACTAACACTGCAGTGTTCTTTTACTAATAAATTCCCGATCCTACAAATAGTTCTTTGGCTCCATACTCCTTTGTTTTCATGTTTTGCCAAGCATTCGATATCAATAAAGACAAAGCTGCTGTCACATTGCCAGTGTAACAGAATGATTTATTTCTGGTATGGGTTGCTTTGTTCCTCTAGCACTGGTTTTAACTAAAACAACACTAATTTGCTGAGCTTTCTTCTCCTTTGGTTTAAGGATTGGGGTTGCTGCTCTGCTTTCCCCACTCTCCCAGCATTTTGGGTCTTGCCAAAGGTAGCAAGGCTTTTATTTCTTAAAAACCTTCAACACAGTTTCTACATAATGGGCATCTGGTGGGGGTTTCCTTGGGCTGCCAGGCTGCAGGAACTTCTTAATTGTAGGTATATTGCTCATTTTTGTTTTAAACACCTGAAAAAAAAAAAAAAAAAAAAAAAGAGGAATTCCAGCCACAAAAATGTGATTTACCCAACATGGGGAGATGATTACTTCAGGACTGACCTCTAGCTCCTGAATACAGCATACTCAGTAATTAAATTACCTGCAACTGAGGAAACCCTGAGAGCACATCAGGAACTTTCTCCTCCACTGCTAAGATGGCTTCTATAAGCTGAACATCTGCCCAGCTGAATTTGTTGCCCACAAGAAAGTCTTGGCCATGTTGTTTCAAAACCTGGAGAAGACAAGAAAATGTGGGCTGCAGGTGAGAGTGGGGCATATGGTCATCCTCAGCAGCTAAGCCTCACAGCACAGCTGCAGAGCTGAGCAGCAATTCTATCTGAAATTTCAGGGTGGACTTTTCAGCTGAAGCCGAGCCTAAATTTCCTTATTGATGGGAAAAAATTAAGTTTTGTTCATTTTGCGTTCTAATACACAGACTACAAACTTGGGTCACTCAGTAATAATGAATGATGATGGGCTCTAGGAACAGAAACAAAAACATGTGCTTAAGTAGACTAGTAACAGTCCTAGAATTAGAAATAGGGATAATGGAGGAAGCAACAAGCAATTTAAGGAATTCATAGAATTCCCATTTAGATGATTCATGTGAAGTGATGTCCTATGATGATATCAGGAAGGAAACTTAGAAATGCAGAATTGCAACAACTAACTAAAGAAAATCCCTGCCTTTGGGAAAAGACCATTTTAGTGCCAAGAACTTGTGTGATGTTCAGCCTTTATTACTGTTTTCCAAGAAAACTAGATCATTATTACAAAATCAGGAAATATTGCCAGATGCATGAATCATATGGGTTGGGGTTATTGTTTTATAAATCTGTGACTGTCATTTTACTCAAGTACTCCTCTCTCCCTGATTTGTGTACAAGGGATTTTTGTATTCCTCCAGGGAAATTTTTCTAAATGAAATTAAGTATGGGAGAGAGATGCACTTTAAACAATATATAACTGCTTCTTCAAGAAAAATAATCACAAAACTTTTAGTGAAAAGTTTTTATGCACAGCTGAGAACATATTGCTTCACAGATGTTCAAATACCACAGACCTGACAACACAAGCAAACAAAGACAGGAAGATATGCTGCTGTATTTCCCCTTTTTTTGCTAGCAAAAAAAAAGCTGAGGATTGGGAACTGACCTACACTACATTCTTATTTTGCAGAAACTTTTTGGATAATCTCAAGTTTTATGGACACATACTTCCTGTCACTTACCTTTTCAAAGACTGGAAAGTACCTGTTAGTTGCTCTCTCCTTAATTGACTCAAGATTTTTCTCCTTTGCATCAGGTGGAGAGAAAGGAAACACCAAAATCATTTGCATCAGATCTGATATTCCCTCCACATACATATCAATCCTATTGGGCAGGGGAAGATGGTAGAAAAAAGCACAGAAGTTATTTCATCTGTTTTCCAATTAACAAAGGCAACTTACAGGAATTTTATATCGCCAACATAGTGCCAATTTTCACAGCCAAAACTAAGCATGAACGAAACCTGAATATTTTTCTAAAAGAACAGAAGCCTATTTGTGTTCAGAGCATTTCAGAAGCAGTGGTTAAATCTTATTGTTAGCCTTTTTGATGCCTTTATATGGGATTTACAGGATTGTATTTGGTTTATATAACGTAACTATCAAATAACAGACAGCTGTGTTAGTGATAGGAAGTGTTACATACAGGGCTCTCTCCTTCAAGTCTTTCCCATAGAGATTGTATTTCCCTGCTATGTAGCTCATGATGGCCCTGGTCTGCACCATCTTCATCCCATCGATCTCAACCAGGGGCACTTGCTGGAAGAGCAGGAATCCATCTAGGGTGGAGAGGTGAAGGAAAACCTGTTAGTCCTCCTAGACTGCAAGGTGTACAGGAGAGTGAGACACTGAGCACATTTCTCTTGCAGTGTAGGAGACCACTGATGTCTTGCTCTAACTGTAAAACTCACAGCACTCAGCTAACATTGTGGGGAAGATCAAACAGCCTGCATCACACTCCTGCAGCAAAGCCACCACAGCACAGCTGGGCTCTGGGCTTGACAGCACTGACAGCTTCAGTGGCTGGTGGGAGTTGGCCCTGCCTGTACCTCTGCACTTCTGGAGCCGGCCTCCTGCTGGCAGGAAAAGCCTGAACCAGCACTTCCAACCCAAGGAATAGGAGGAGAAGAAAGATACATGGTAAATATGAACTTTTAAAAAAATCCAGTTCTCTTGAATGCAGATCAGTTCCCTGTCAGGGCCATACATGAGTAGTACTGTAGCAAGACCAAGCTACTGGAATACAGGAAGGGGTCAGGCCACTTTAAACATCCTGAAGCCACAGAGCTAAAGGCAGAGCCTGTGACAGCTGTCGGTGTTTGAAAAGGTTTCACACACTCACTTCAGGACCAGAGTTAGAGTGTCCCCATAGATTTTACAGGCCTAGTCTCAGTGCCATTCTACAACAATTTATGCCTATATAGAAACATCTTTATAGTCCCATTTTCTGCTGGTGCTGGTAGGAGCAATTGTCTGAGCTTTCACTGAAGCAGCTCTGAGAGCTAAGTACACACAGAGATTTAGCATTGCAAAGTCAGTCTATTCTAGACCAGTTTTCTACTGTACTAATTCACTGTTTTTGGAGACACTCCCTCCACCATCTACACACTAATGGCATCCTGAGAACAATCCTGCCCTGTTTATAATCACAGCAGAACTCCAAACCCAAATAGGCAGCTGCCACTTGCATTGCTCAAAGTTAATAATTTCTTTTAATCACTCAATTTACATCTGTTTGGTGAATCTTTCTTTCAGATATGAAGTTCCATTTTAACAGGCCCATCTGGCTGTCTTTTTCTCCAGAGCTGTTAAAATACCTTGCTAAGCTAGAATTAATATTCTTCCCTCATTTTATATTATTAATTTACAGTTGAAATTCAAAGAGTAGTTATCTCTGGAGCAAGAAATAGCTTGTATTTGCTTCTTGTAAACATTCACAGAAAGATCACATGTGTTCTTGTCTTTCCAGAACACACCTCTGCATCTTAAGGAAGAAACATTACTTGGTATCTATCTAGCAGAAACAATAGAATAGGAAAACTAATAGATCTGGAAGGATATTTTTCAGCAGAAAGATGTGAAGTGAAAAATAACATTTGTCTTTCTGGCCCTTGACAAAAAGCAACACAGTAAATATGACTGAATACACCATTTGTTCCTTATTTACATAACAGAGGAATCCCTCTTAAAAATCTGTAGTGGACTACCTCTTCTCCCTCATTTTGCAGGGAGAACCACTTCACATAACTACAGCACAGAATACATATGCAGGATTAAAAGGAGTTGACCAGTAATTCCAGGGATTGGATTGTGCTGTCCAAAGGTGGTCTGTGCAGAAACATTGAAAAACAATCACCTGCTATTTGCAACCAACCAGCAGAGCTCACTGATATCCAGGTACCACTTGGGCAACCTTTGGCTGCACAGATTGTGGCAGGTTAGTCATCCCGCAGGCCAACAAGCACAGGTCTGCACAGGCCAAAGCTATTTAACTCTCTTTGCCTCCAAAACAGCTGTCTCTCTGCAAGCTGCCTGTTGGGAACAGCCCCTGGCCCAGGCATCATCCTGACACTGCTGGGGCACTGCCTGCAGGGCCATCAGCTGGCACGGGCCAAAGTCATGCCTAGGCTAGTCTAATGATGTGGTGGCGTCTAAACACAGGAAACTGTCAAAAATCATATTGGTAGGGAGAAAAAAAAAAAGTTTAAGGGAGAAGTAATGTGGAGTTACTCTTGTTGAGTCCTGCCCTGCACAACTGGCAACATTCCAGAGGTCCCTTTATCAGGATGACTAATTTATCTATTTTTCTTCAACCCATTCTATTAAACCACACCTTTTTTCTTTGTTTTCTCACTGTCTTAAACTCAATGTATAGACATAAAATGCTTGATTTCTTTATAAAACTTCCCTATCCTTTTCGCCACCATTTAATTCTTCTCTCTGGATATCAATAAGCTCAGATACAAACCTGGTTACAGTACCACTCTTTCTAGGTAACCTACTCTTGTGAAGGATATAGAGATTTGGGGTTTCAGTACCTGTGCTCTTACATTTAGAGCTTTAATTGGTTTGTGTACACTGCACTGTCCTCCCACATTGTAAGAGTCCCAGAAAACTGGACCTGCAAATTTAATTCTGATGTAATTAATACCACTTCTATCTTATTTTTGTTCATTTAGTTTTCCCTGACAGAATTTCTTTAGACACAGCTTTATCCTTCTGAGCTCAGCCACAATGCAGGCAAGACCTCTTCCAAGTCTCCTTGTATGGCTTGTATGGCAAGCCCAGTCTGCCCCAAGGTTTCGCTCACGTGTCTTGGGCAGCAGGTAAACTGTGGGGCAAATGTACTCTCTGCTGCTCCTCACTGTCCCAACTCCTTCCCCACTCTGCAGGAAGGTCTTTTCTTTCCAGGGTGTCTGTAGAGGGGCTCACCGCTGGATTTCTTCTGGCCAGATATCAAGGGCAGTGGCTCGGGGTCTGCACTGGTCTGTGGGAAGAGCTGGTCATGCTCCCAAGGTTGGCATGAAGCCTTCATGGCATACTGCTTTGACCATGCCAGGCTTTCCACGGGTCTGCCTGCTGGCTCCATGGCTTTTTACTAGGGGAAACTTCAATCTCAGGCAGTTCTATTTGCCCTGGACCAAAAATGTGCCAGGTACCATGCTAACAATTCAACAGCATAGGTAAGTGTTTTCCTGTTTAATGTACTACAATAAACACAATCACAGAAGCTCTGGCTTTTAGCTTATACCAGTTATTTGGCACTGGAAATAGCAGGTTACTCAAAATTAGTATTGCACTATTCAAGGTGTGCACCCAGAAGTTTAACTGATTTAAATAAACTATTTTAAACCATAAGTTTAGCTAGGCTGGACAATTATTTTGAAGGACTAAGTCTCAGGTATCAGGATTCTTACCTTTAATTAACTTGTCATACTGCTCTTTTGTTTCCAAATAAACTTCTTCAAACTGAAAAAGGAGTGAGAATTGTGTCACACTGCTGTATTTGAACATTTTAATTCTGTTAAGTGATAGCACATAACCATGCCCAAAATTACTGAGTCAAGTAATGGACCAGATCTTCAGCTGCACTATTTAGGTGCAGATGTCCCAAGGATCCTGCACACTCCCTGACAGCTGATGGGGAGCAAAAGGAGGGCCTGGACACTTCTGCATCAGTGCACTGATTCAGAAATAACTGAAGACCAGGCACAAACAGGCATCTACAGAAACAAGACAGGCTGGAGCCAGTGCCAAGGGAAGCACAAGGTATAGCAAGTATTTCTAACCCCACCCCAGTTTACACACATTGCAACTGCAAGCTTAAGATTGAGTTAAGGTGCTTTAGCACAGCTAGATAACTTACAATTAATAAAGGCCCTTTAAATAAATCCCCACTTTGTCCCCTTATGATTAATCACGTCAGGAAATTGCTACTACTTCTAATAAACTCTAAATGCTACAGAATTTGCACCCCAAGTATCACCCATGGAAAAAGGTAGTGACAAACATGCAGTGCCACTGGACAAAAGAATTTAGCTACCCTCATGCAGCTTTTATCAGCCACATGCATGTTAAATTGTCCTTCACTGAGGAAAGTAGAGAACACCAGTCTGTAGCACTCTACTGAAAATGTCAACCAACCTCCACACCAGCTGCTGCCAACAGCCATCGTATGGACTCCATCCGGCCCCTTCCATTCAAGTAGGTAAGCCTGGGCTTCCCTGACATGTTCCTGAGCTCCTGGTTCCCTGAAAGATACTAAGCAGAAAACAGTATTTCATAAAACTGGTGTTTTAAGCACCATTATTTTGAGGGGAGGTAGCACCTTTTATTCTCACTATGCCTGTTGAATTTTAAACTTCATTTGGTTCAAAACATAAAATGAGAGACAGACCCGTGACACCACACAGCCAGTGCTAGGAAAGGAAAGATACATGAATCTGTAAAGCCTTCCTCAGTGCTGCTGGGGAGATTTCTTATGATTGGAAGCAAACACAGACCTGTTTAAACAAGTGGTATAAGCCCCTAGCTACAGGGGGAATACTGCTGCCTATGAAAACAATTATACAAAGCTACTGAAAATCCTTCCACATCCTCAGGGAAATTACTCACTTAGCCTCATTGCCATCATCATCATTGAAAAGAAGGAAAGGAAAACATGTTTTACCTGTAGGCTGAAATTTGGCTAGCTTTGTTCGTCATATGTGCATTTTGCAGCTTCATATGCAGACCATTTCTTTCCTCAAATGGGGTGAATGAATTGTTGATATTCCCTTTATTCCATGAAACAGGATGAGTGTCCTCGGCCATCCTGCATGGCTGCAGCCCATTTCCTTGCTGCTTATGGCAGCCTTGAGGTGTCCCTTGAAGCCAGATGTGGAACCCAGCTGCACTGGCTTCACATGCCCAAGAATACCCCCTGGGGCATGGGGGCCCTGTGTTTCTAGGGACTGGCACACCGAGGCTGCTGCTGTTTGCTGTAACTGCGCCTCTCCCAGAGCACACCACAGAGACAGCACGTCCCTACCGAGCTGGTTCATACACGGGGCAACCAGCTGCACTGGCAGTGTCAGGTGTGGGCATAAGCATTGCTACATCCAGGCCTTAATTCCTCTGTGCTTCGTGTCCTAATTACTAAAACAGCACAAATAGCATTCCCCTTCACAAAGATGCTTGTATAATACACTGATGATCAGAAGGAAAAAAACACTTTAAAACAGATTTCCTAATCATATCCTAATGGTTCAGAGTGCCTCACTTAAAAAAATTTCCAGATGACTCTAGTTTTCCCAGAGTTAAAGCCAAAGCTGCAACATTACATTTGTCACACCTTGCATCCACTTGACATTCCTTTTTTGAATCAGCCTCACTATACTCCAGTGGTATGTTTTCTTCAAGCCACAGTGCTTTGTAGGTGAACTTAAAATAAAGTACATTTGGAACATATTTTACCCAAACTTGACTTAAATAAAAAACAAGATTGAGAGTTCTCCCTTGAGCAATTCCAGTAAGAACCAAGTCATGTTACTAAAATAAATAGGGATATATGGAGTAATTTAGTAAATATAATCCAAATACATAATATGGAAAAAGTATGTTCAGTTTTAAAGTGCAAATAATTGTTCCTAATTACAATATTTGGCTCTAGGGACAGTGCTTTATTAGTTTCTGCATCTTGTGTGCCTACTTTTCACTGTAGGGCAGTTCATCAACATAGTTCACAACAACTAGCTAGTGCTTCTTTCATTATCATGCTTTTCAGCTTCGTTGCATCTCTATCATTTCAACACACATTGCCCCACCTTGTAATGCACAGAAACTTACAGTAAATTAGACTTTAACTAAAAAAGCCAATGACTGAAGTAACAAGTATATGAACCTCAATCCTCCTGGAAACATTATCTTTTGTTTGCAGAAGAAGAACAGGAGCAAGAAGCCTCAGGTTATCATTTTATCACTTCACATGAATAAGAGATTCTATGTGGCATTAAATTTTGTGATAAGAACAATGACAAACATAGAATTAAAATTTGCCATAATACTTTTTTAATTTAAAAAAACTCTGTCAGCTCGGAGTGGATTTTAGTTACCTTAACATTCCAACACAGAAAAAAAAACTAAGAAAAAAAACCCCAAAACCACCACCAATAAAAAAAAAAACAAACCTACAAACAAACAAAAAACTAAACAAAAAAAAAATCCTCTTGAGTTTTGGTTAAAAGTCACCTTAGTCTTTAGATCTGCTGAATGCATCTCCATTGACTATACAGGACCTGACACCTGTAGCTCACATACAGGCAGCTACTTTCAGTTAGTGGGTCTGGACCTGAGTCTTGTCTGGTGGGCTCAGTTTAGTTGCCCATTACCCTGTGAGTACTGACACCTGAGATTCCCTAAAGATCAGAAGATACAGCCCTTGACTAACAAGAAACTTGGCAACTTCTATGTTAAAAAAACAAACCTATTCATCCAGGCTCTCAACACCTTTTTTCATTTATCTGGGGAAAGGTACACCCTACAGAGCCAAGGTCTCAGGATTTCACTCAGACCTTCACAATTTTTCTAGTTTTATTAAGAGACTTTCAGGATGTACTGTTTTAAAAAGTTGGTCCATTTTTGATAGAATATGTTGATGCTTTATTAGTAGCCAAGTAATCTTGAATATCTGTCACCCATTCCTTACTGTTTGCCTTAATTAAAAATGGTCATTGGGTCTTTCTGTGTAAGTTACAATTTGTGTAAGGGAAGTATAGAATATCTGTATTACATTATTCAGTAAGATGAGTAGCTATTATCTGAAAATCATATTGAAATAATTCAAAATCTTCCAAGACTTGGTACTAAAAGCTAACACTTTTCAGAAGTTGTAGGATTCTGCCACCACCAGACAGCTCATTCAAGGAAACAGAAAAACCCCTGACACTGATAACCTAAGGTGATGAAGAACTGGGAAACACACAACATAGACATCGAGGATTTTGAAGCTAGTTGTACTTGTTCTGGGACTGCCAGACTGTAGTAAATCATTCACTTTGTTTGCACAAGGAAGGCAAGGAACAGCCTCTGGGATAGTAACTTACATGCCAAATCCCACTACGCTACTCCTCCCACCTGGGAAAGGAATAACATCACACCCATAAAGCCTAAAAGGCTCAAGCAGATGTAACAGATGCACTGTTTCTAAATACCTATCTGGAATTGTTATTTGTGGGTGGTCATATTATCTGAGCAGCAACTGGAATACAGGTTATTGACTAAGTACTGCAAATGAAGCAGTGGAAGCTCCACCACTCAGTCCAAAGCTGAGCACACAAGCAGCTGAATTAATTGCATTAACTTAGATCTATCAGCTGGTCCTAGTCTGTAAATATTTATGCTGATTTTCAATATGCATTTGGAGCATGCCATGCCACTGGGCAGCTATGGAAGCTGTGTGGATTTATGACTCCTAGTGGAAGTAAACTATCAAATGCTCCATGAATTACTGAACTGTTAAAATTATACAAGTGCCAGAGAAATGTGTTATCATTCATCAGCCAGACCATACAGCAGGAGGAGAAAAAAAAGAGATATATTTCACAACAACAGTACAAACCACCAGGCTTACAACCAGTCCATGGTATGAGCTGGTGTTGCTCCTGAAAAGCTATGTCTGACTGCTCCTGCTGAAGAAAACTGACTCTCAAAAAAAAGTACAAATGGTCAAATGTCCAGGGACAGTTGAGAAAAGGTGTGGAAAACCTTCTAATTTTAATTAAGTAATATCTGATTCCTATAGCCAAAATACATCATTACTCAGGACATTTGGGGACTACTGCACTAACCCAGACACTGCTGAAGAACTGGTTCATGTTATGAATTTATGCTGCAGCAAAATAAATAACTGCATCTTGCATACACTGTCCTGATATCTAGCAAAAGCCTCAACAGAAAATTTGACTACATACAATTTTTAAAATGGTTTTTGTCTAAAAGCCACAATTATATCCTATTTCCTATTGCCTTGTGAGCCTTAGTAACAGGCCTGTCCAGAATTTCTTTGAGCACACATCTCAGGGATGCAAGAACAATTTAAGAGATCATCATCTTCCAAAAACCGAAGCACTCAGCATGAAATGCTGTTTAGCCCTGGAGATGAGATTAATTAGCGTCCAGCATATCCCACGGGCCAGCTTTCCTGCTCAAACCTAGAAGAAACAACACAGTGCTCGACACTTGCACTTTGTCCTCCTAGTTGTTTCATGACTGCCTTGGCTAGCTCCACATTGCACCACAGAATTAATTTACCGATTAAAACACAGCATTCTCTGGCATTTTCTCTCCTGCAGCTTCCACTGGTGAATAATTATCAAGGCATTTTTAGTCTACCTGGTACACAGACAAAGGAGAGGAAAGAATTTACATTACACCAAGAGGTGCCCTAAAAAACTTAGCCGTTTCACTTAAACATAGCCATGCAAATGCTTTTAAAAAAAGGAATGTTTAAACTCTTACCTTCTGACCTTAACACAGACTCCACCCAGCACAGGCAGGTTCCCCAGGGCTGTTTAAACTCTGCAGCTTGGGGGAGTTTCCAGCCATACCCAATAAGAGAAAAAAGCTTCCCAGTGCTCTTAAACTGATACTATCGAGTTTAAAGCCGTACGGCTGTGAAAACTGACACCCAAGCAGAGACAGTCTTTGTTTGCTGATTTGACTACACCATGACACTAACCTCACAGTTTCTAAGGTTGCCGTCTATTCGAACTGTTCTCTTGGCATTTTGGGGGCATTTTACCCAAATACAATAGCAAGGCATTTGAAAACACTGAGAAAATTACAGATTTTTTTTCTGGGTCATATTTAAGGCAATAGGAATCATTTAAAGAAAAACCACAAAAGTTTCTAGGCTTATTTAAATATTTGGCAGGTTTTTATTTTTGCTGCTGTATGGCATAGAGAAGTTACTCAAAAGATGGAATAATGGGGCTCAATTACTTTGAAATACAGTATCAAGCTTACTTGATATAAAAAATGGATGAGCAGTTTATGTCACAACCCACCCTATGTCTCAAGGTAATAGCACTAATTTTTGAAATTGAATGTACATGGCTAATGCTCAGAGATTAAATAAACTATTATTTTCTTACCCATGAGAAGTAACTGTTTCAGCTTTTCTGTCTGTATTTCAGCTAAAAATCTCAAAACTGAAAGTGGATATGAACAGACACAAGGATATCATAGCAAATGGAAAACGGGACTTGGATGCCAAGATAGTCAGCTAATACCCTCTAGCACAGACCCACATGTGATGTTGGGCATTGCTTTGCACCCCTGCAGCAGACATCAGTACAATTAATTTGAAGATCTGTTCACAGAACACACACTGTTATCAAAATTGTATTTGTCTGTCTAAAGCCATGGCTCTACTAACACAGCACCTCACTATGGGGAATCTCATATTGGTATTTTGTAGGTAACATTTTCCTCACAGTTGGAGTTTTGTAATGGCTTCTTTGCCTGGCAATTGCTGGCAGTTTCTTCCAGAGGATGCACTTCCCTTAGAGGCTTCCTGCAAATTTGTAATTTATGTGCTTCAGAGGTTGATGCTGTCAGCAAAACCCAACTGTGTGGTGCTTCTTTACACTTTGCCTAATTCTAACTCTCTCCTAAGTTCATAACATACGGAGTAAAGCATGACATTAAAGGCATGTGTCTGTATGTTTTCTATGTCAAACCCAGTTACTAACAGGCTACCCTAGAGAAAATTCCTAAATATGGGTCAGAAGTCCAGCAGAAGCCCAGAACAATCCCCAGCTGGCAGAATAGGTACCCTATTTTGGAATATCTGAACATTATGTAAATGCATGCTGTACTAAGCATGGGCACAGTGATCCCCATGTAATGCAGATGTGGCTCCAGTAGGAATGCAGCACATACAGAGATAGCTGAGTAGGAATGGAGCATTTGTTCATACCTATCCATGATGGCAGTACTGAATCAAGATTAATCTGTTCCTGGTTTTGAGGTCTTTAATATCAGTATGCACCAGAGTGCAAGAGTTGGTTCAGGAAGAGAGACCACAGAAGAGCATGCATGTAACTGTAGTCTCTTTGTCCTCTCTGCAGTCTCAAAAGCTGCCAAGGACAGCAGTAGGCTTGGTGGCAAAGAATGGGAGGGGGAGGTCCCTAATTTAAGGGTCAGCTCAAGCAAAGCATTCTGATACTTGTTGGATTTGCTGAATATGGCCACATCCAGATTTGTTTGTTGTCCCCCTTCTACCCGTTCTTGTTTGGCAGAAAGACTTTCTCTCTTGTTCTCTTTTTATGTTGCTTCCAGCACAGCCTTTCATAATGTAATTACAAAGCTCCTTTGGAATCTGAAGGTAATCATATCAAGGAGGTTGCTGTTATCTATAACTTGAACAGGTGTTCTGTAAACCTCTAGAGCAGAAAAGAAGTTTATTTTACATTATTTGTTTCTTTACATTTTGTTTGATAAGTTTCTTTACATGCTTTGTTAAGCCACACCCATGAGTACTCAAGAAGCGGGCATGGGGCCCAGGTGCCACTGAAGTGATCTGGGCTTGGGCAAAGGCAGATTTTAACTAGTGAGTATACCATGCCCTGGCATGCCACCTTCCCACTGTGCTCTGCAGACACACATCCTTGTGCTGTAGATGAAGTTAGTTCAAAGTCTTCTCAAAATGTACTTACCTGCAATCCTCACAAGCCACCACAAAGCTGGCTTGGGGAACGATGTCTAATTGCAGCATCCCCTCAGAGGTGAGCACAGGGTACATCACAAAATGCCACCAAAGAATTAAACACAGAAGGGTAGGAGAATTCTCCCCATGCTGCTTATTGCACTCCTAAACTGCACGCTCCTAAACTGATGCACCACACCACTGTGATAAACATGATTTGAGTCCACATGAATAGTTCAAACAAGTTATGCATCACTTAAGCCTTGCTGGAAACCTTCAGTCACTGCTCTGGTTCTGTGCAGGAAACTTTACTGACTGCCCAAAGCAAGGTTAACCAAGCCCGTAGTAACCCTCACACATATTTCCCTGAGATCTTTGACTCTCAGCTGGCATAGGAAAATCTGAAAACAATAACCCTATTTCTGAGTTACACCCACTGTAGTGCTGTGAGGAGAGGTTAAATGGAGAGCTGGTTTTCAGTACATTGTTATTTGGATTGTTTAGTCTTTATTGATCTAACTATCTCAACATGGTCAAAGGACTGCTTTATCAAGGCATGAGATAGGTTTCAAAAACTGAATCATGCCTCTAGTATATTTTACCAATTTCATTGTAAAATATTTAACTTAAATACCTCATGTATTGGAATTGCTTCATAATTTTGACAGAAACTTGTATTAGTGTATATTTCCTCTATTTGGTATCTGTTGTGTTCTGGTATCTGTTGTGTTCTTTCTAAGACTCTCACTTTATGCACATTGTTACAACTAAAACTACTACTAACCTAAACTTGGGTTTAAATAATCTTTTTTTTTTTTTCTACTACTAAGAATAGGGGTGGGAAAACTTTTAATTGAGCCAACAAAAGCCAGTGAAATCAGCTTCGTTTGATGGTGGCTCAGGGCTGATGATGAGGGAAGAGGCAATTTCCTAGAAGCAGACAGACCAACTTCAGAGAAAAGCAGATGCAAGTCAGATGGTACAAGCCTACAAGGCAAGGTTTAAAACCATACAGTCAGTGATCAGTACTGGGATAACCTGCCTTTCACAGTTTAATCTTTTTGCACTGGAAAGCTGCTTAGCCCCTAAATGTTCAATATCTTTCAAGATTCCACCGCGTTCATTATATCCTTCACATTACTTTCATCTGTTTAAGTTCCTGGCCTCAATGACATCCTCTAACAATGAGATACACTGGCTTAGTGTGGAAATGTTTTTATTTGCTTGTATTTTGATGCTTTTATTTAATTGTGTTATTCCACTTCTATTATAAGAGAGGGGAGATGAAAGCCCTTCTCTGTCTCTTGTACTGAGATCACATGCATAAAAAATAATTTATCTAATAATTTTTGTGACTAATTGATTTGTAATTCACTTCTTACATGCATTTCTCAGCTCTGTTTTCTTCCGTTTGTATTCTTTGTATTTACTCTGTTGGTTGTATTTCCTGATTCTCTCTTGATTACAGCTGCATTCTGTAAGAGTGCAAGAAACTGCCAAGCATTCTGTCTTCCTCAAAACTTGAAATGAGTATGTGTGCATAACTCTTTGATTTAATTTCCAGCAGAAAAGGAAACTTGGAGAGAATGGAGAGCACTTTCTCTTCTACTATCAGGACAGTTTCCATCAGTTGCTGGACTTCTGTCCACAGAAGTTTGACAGATATGAAAGATTATAACCATCTTGATTCAAGAGGAAAAATATTTACAGGAATTAAAAACCTAATGACTTTTCTGAGTTTTGCTCCAGAACAGAGGCAGTTATTAACAATCTAAACCTTTATTTCAGGTTTATTTCTGCATCCGTAGTCAGTTCTGTAGGTTACACATGTAGAACTGTTGTTACATTTCCATAAAAGCCACAAATGAAAAAAGTATCAGAAGAAATTGGTGATATGGTACAAGATACATAAAAAGTGAAGGGGAAAATAAGTGCATTGGGTCAGATATAAACCTTCATGTGCTTTTGTTCTCTTGTTCTCAAGGGGAAGTTCTCAATGCAAGTTTAATGGAATAGGAATCTGGTTCATCTTGCCCAGCTGGGTAGCAGGACTTTAGACCTCGGCACCCAGTTCACAAAGGCAGCAGCTCCCTTACACATACATAGGCCTCTTTTCATCAGCCTGAATGCTGAGAGGTTAAACTGAATGGATGTACACAGAGACCTGAACTGTCCTTACCATAGCACCAATATTGAAAGATGCCTTGGGTGTGCTTAAGAACCATGCTGAAACTGCCTGTGGTCTTTATACAGAAGGTAATAAAGTTTTAATAATAAAATACAGGATGTACACTCACATTAGAAAAGTGTTGATGGGGATATGTTTCACTGCTGAAATTGGAGATTCCTAATCTTCTATATTGGAATGAGCAGAAAAGACACAAAAATCTTTGGGGCCCAAACCTATGCAGTTCAGTTGTCAGTTTTGAAGAGGCATCCCTCTTGCTTCAAGGAGAGCCAAGACACTATCCAACTAGTGAAGTCTTACTCAGTGTCTTGTAGCGTAAAAATGACCCCCACATCCTGGAGATAACACGTTCTCCAGCCTCAGCCCTACACTTCATTTTAGCACCTGTTACTATTAGCAAAAAAGCACCATAGCATTAGAAAAATAGTGTGTCTGTTTAATTAAGGTACAAACACTATACACCAAGGTCACATTAGCATTTTCAGATGTCAGTGGCACACTGGGAGCTGGCATGTGGCTGATTGTTCTTTAGCTCCGCCTCCTCCGAGTTCCTGCTTCTCACATCAGTGGGAATTTAGGCAAAGTGCATTTAACTAGTCTAAATGCCTCTACTTTATTAATTCCTATGTATGGAATACTGATTAAGATCACTGAGTTTCAACTTTCCTACCTATTATCACTTTATCTGCTATGAAAGGTGCTAATTTTTCTTTTAGCGC